CTTTCTTTCTTTCTTTCTTTCTTTCTTTCTTTCTTTCTTTCTTTCTTCTCTTCTTCCCTCCCTCCTTTCTTCTCTTTCTCCTTCCTTCCTTCTTCCTTCCTTCCTTCCTCCCTTCCTCCCTCCCTCCTTCTTTCCTTCCTTCACAATTTATTGGTGCCCTATCTTACCGCAGGATAATAATATTGTTAGCAATGACAATGTGTTTTTCCTGGTTTGGGTGTGTCTTGTTTCACTGCATGAATCTAGTCACTTTCATTTCTAAACCATGACTTTTGGTTTAGCATGTTGCAGAAACATACCCAATTGTCATTTACTTACTAAATCATGGTTAACTGCCATGGTTGAGCCCAGTCACTGTTTTGGGTTTCCAACAGTATTTTTTAGCCCTACTGTGAGATGCATCGAGTTTGGGGTTGCAAAACAGTTGCTCTCCTGCTCAGATAGTATTAGGACCACCTGAGCTAAAATGGGAGCCAAACCACATGATTTAAACTCAATTCTGATTCTACCAAACCAAATGAACATCCACTCTAAAATTGAAAAAAAAAAAAAAGATTTGATAGGCTCTTTCGTTTCTAAGTAGCAGCCAAGGCAATGCGTTGGCATTTTTTCTGCAAGCTGAAAAAGCTACTTGGGTGGCTGGAGAATTCCTTCTCAAATACATTTAGCCAGCTTTGACTAAACGCAAAACCATGTTGAGGCCTGCTATGTAAATATATTAAATATTCAATCACTGAATGCTGCTGGCCATCAGCAGGAAAGAGCAAGGATGAGAAAGCCTTAAGCACAGCTAATTTGCCGGTTGCTAGGATTTGGGCTGAGCTTCAAAGTTCACTGAATTTTTGAGCAGAGCTGATGAACAGGGAGCACAGGCAAAAAAGAGAGAAGGAAATTTAAAAAAAATAAGAAAACAGTTTAAAAAAAGCATCCATCCAGGGAAGCAGAGATTATCCACGTCTTTAAAAATAATATCAAACAATACAAATAACCCTTGACTTACAACAGTTCATTTAGTGACCATTCAAAGTTACAATGGCACTGAAAAAAAGTGACATGACCATTTTGGGGTGAGGATTAATCTTACATCACTTTTTTCATTTGCCGTAAGTTGGGCACTACCTGTATATAGATGCCAGCTTTTTCCTCTTTAGGGTTTAATATTTTTATCGAGTTATAAAATATTGTAAGATACAAAATACAAAAGTAAACAGGAAAACAGTGGGGAGACAGAAGAGGAAGAGAAGTGAGAAAGAATAAGAAAAGAAAGAAAGAAAAAGAAGAAGAACTGACTTTTGACTCTCTCTGTTGCAGTAAAATAAGGCATTACCATCAAATCCCAACTTTTTGCTTTTTCATAATAATATGAATAGAATAGAATAAATTCTTTATTGGCCAAGTGTGGTTTTGACACACAAGGAATTTGTCTTGGTGCAAATACTCTCAGTATACATAAAAGAAAAGATATATTCATCAAGAATCATCAGGTACAACACTTAATAGTAGTCATAGGGTACAATAAGCAATCAAATTATTCTAGGAAACAGTCAATATAAATTATAAGGATTCAAGCGACAAAGTTACAATCATACAGTCACAAGTGGGAGGGGATGGGTGATAAGGAATGATGAGAAGAAGATGTTTCTACGAAGATCTATCAATCTACTCGGTAAAACCTCAAATCAAACTCTCATTCCTTTCTACTTCAAGCATGAAGTTCAGAAACAGTTTCCATGTGGAAACAAAAGTACTTATATTCTTAGCTTTTTCCTCTTTAATCATTCAATGAACAGTGTTTTTGTTTCTGGAGGCCAGGCTGAAGAATCCTCCAAACCAGCGTTCTCCAACCTTAGCAACTTTAGGACGTGTGTCGTTCAACTCCCAGAGTTCCTCAGCCAGCAAAGCCGTCCACAAGTCTTAAAGTTGCCCCCTTTGGAGACCCCTGCTCCAAACTGCCCCCCTTTTCCCCCATGCAGTTCATCTCTGGTGAGTCATCACTAAAGGTCCTAGATCAGGAATGTCACATTAAGGGTGCTTAGATCCAGCCCACAAGACCAGCCTGGAAATAACAAAGGACTGGCCGACAGCGTCTCTGCCAGCAAAAATGGAGCTTGGGTGAGGGGGCACACGGTGTCCACGCGCCCTGTTTTCACTGGCAGAGGGCTATCCAAACAAACTAAAAACAAAAAAAGGAGAAATGTTTCCCCTCTTGCATTTGAGCATGCAAGAAAGGGCAGGAAAGGAGAAAGGGAAAGACAAAGGAAAAGAAGGGAAGATGGAAAGAGAGCAAGGAAGG